GTTGTGACTCCCCAATCTTCCACCGCTTCTGTACCTTGCGTGGGAAGCAGGAATGTGGAATCACATTTTAGCTTGAGGTTAAACCAACTAAAGAAACACGATCCTGTTGTATTGCAGTTGGCGATGTTCACTTCCCATTTACGTCCTGGTAAAAATACCCTGTGAGGCTCCAACCAAGAGCAAAAAGCACTCAGCAGCATCAGATTTTTGTCAAAGGCGACCGTGTCCGCGTATATGGCCGTAGCAGCTCGTTACCGGCTAATCCTGTTCCACTTTTAATGGGAATTAATATTCCGATGCCTTATTCGGAAAAATCGCGATTGCCTCTTTAAGAGATATATAGCATCGCTTCAGAACGAAAAAAGCCCTATCGCATACAAGCTCAACATCTGCGGTGTTGGAAAATGTCTAGATTCCGTTGGACGTAAATATGACATTAACAGTGGCGTAGTATCTAGTTTTCCCTAAGGTACTTGTCAAGGCTGCTCCTCTTTGTGTGTATGTTTCTTATAGAACACATATTGACGTAAACATAGGCACAGCAAATAATGTCAAAATATTTTCTTGAGAAGCTGTACGTCTTTGATAACTGCATTATAACAGCGACTAATAAAAACATCACATGCTCGACAAAGCCTCCGGTTCGGTTTTGGCTCCTGCCGTTGTACTGAAGAGATATGTAGCGAAGCTTGCTCCAGTTCTTTTGCAATTCTTCCAGATGTATTGCGTATCGAGCACTTTCCCAGAAAACTCTAAATTTGCCCATGTCCTGCCCATCCCAACAAAGGATCTTAAAACAACATTTTCAACTACAGGCCTATAGCTTCGTTTTCTGTTATATGTAAGGTGATAAAAAGGTGCGTAAATGTTGCTCCTGCAGTACCTTGAACGTCACGGCTCGATTTGGGACAGGCAGTTTGATTTCCAGCGATCCACAAGGGATCTCCTAGCTTACTCATCCAGTCTTATGATGAAGCTCAGGTTGTTGGCCTATGGCCTCCAAGAGAAGCTTTGCAGATAGATGGCTCACAACATATCCATCGTAATTGACCGATGCTCCTCTTCATCCCACAATGTCATCGCGGGTAGTCCCCAGGGTTCGGTCTTGACTGCGACATTGTTTTTCTTAGTAATCTCTGCCAGTGAGCTCAAGAAAACTCGACTAGCAGCGACTTCCTCTCTGATGAAAGACTAGTAAGTCTGGTGTAATTTGATGCTTGAAAAATACAGTATTGTAGCTTGACTAACAGGAAACACACTAGCGCTCATTTGGTTTCGATGGACGGCCAAAGTGCATTCATTTCGGCTGGCCGGAGTCCAGATCACCGAGGACCTGATCTGACACTGACACCTATCGTCAATTGCGGCAGCTGCTGAAAAGAAGCTAGGCTATTTGTTTAGGGATAAGACGTACCTTATTCCACACAACCTCATCACTCTGTACAAGGCCCAGATAAGACATAGCCTCTGGTACTGCTCACATGTTAGGGGTGCTGCTACCCCGAATACATCATCCATGCTTGATGCTACATCTGAACGATGACTCTTCTTAAATGGAAAGTTTCGGGACCCTTTCGCAATGAGTAGCCGTCGGCGATCTTCTATAGCTATGTCAACTGGCTCCTCAGAGCTCTCCTCCATCATGCCGCAACGCCATGTACTTGCCATACAGACCCGCATGACCCCGGCCTTCCATCCTAACCGAACTTCGTATACGCAGAACTGTTCTTCTGCCCCTGAGGTATCAAGATTGACGATCTACCTAAAAGAGGCTTTTCCCAGTTCTACTAAGCTTAGACAGTTTAAAAAGGATTAATGAACTTTCTTTAAGCTCCTCGTAGCAGCCACGATGCCCTGGTATTTGGGCTTCTGGCTATATCATTAATATGACCTTAATATAAGGCGGGTTCTCATAAGTTAGTCGTATTAGACTATTTCACTTCAATGTCATAGATTTATTATTATTGATCCATAAAATTGATTAATGAGAAGGCAACTATAGATATGCTAATCCCTTCATCACCTAGATTCATCGACGAAGCAAAGAACGTTAACAATTTTGTAACACGTTCAACTTCTAATGATCGCGACGGGTAGCGGTTGCAAAAGTATTGGTCTAGTATTTCTTATATACAAGAACCTTAAACTATGTGCTTTAAACAGATACAAGGGTAAACCCTTACTCACGGATGACGTTGTATCTCACGGTGGCATCGATAACTTTCCTAATATGCTATGTATAATTTGGAACACTAAACCTCAGATTACCTCAAAGTAGATCTTGACAGATTGAAGTTGGAGTTTAAGTAGTTCAGTAAGATATCACGAGCATTACACAGCTGGAGCTCTGTAGGTTTGTTCAAGCATTCAGCAATAGATGAAGTCACGAGCCATCCTTTATCAAAGCCATACGGAGTATCGCTGAAAAACTGGGCAAGTCTAATGCCTAAATTGCAATATGCCGAGCCATAAAAGGCCTCTCTTAAGAATTTTCCAACGAACTGTAATTCTACTATGGCCCGATATAACAACAAAGTATAAAACGTCCAATAACGAACTTTCTCATCTTTTAGGTGTTAACCCCGACGAACCTTTGTATTGAGTCAAAAAACTCCAAAAAAATCCAAGGATTTAAGTATGTTGACGTTCTCAAATTTTGTCTTTTTACTGCTTCCTGCGCCTTTGCTGCTGAAAGTATTCAAGATAGCTTTGCAACAAAATTGTATTATAAAGCGAGCAGTATCTTCCGAACCATTTGAATATTGGACCTCTTAGCTCTTTTGATGAAGTTATTTTGAAGTCCCTTATTCTGACTCAAAACAGTCATCTACATACAGAACATGTTTGATCCACAATGTAATTATGTACTTTAATGCTGGACAATCTATAGATTAACGTAGCTAACGACGGTGAAAGTGTAGTGCTAAGTACTAATCTTATAGCATTCAAGAGGACTAAAAAATTGCGACTACCCACACAAGACACATCTATAGTCTTCTCGAAAGCCCTTTATAAGACAAACTTCTATCAAAAATTATCCAACTCATTGTTCTTCAGAAGAATGGATATGAAAAGGATGCGAATGATGTTTCAAAAAAGTTATTAATTATGTGAGTTGAAGGATCTCGCGGCATTTTGGCCATGTTTATACATCATTGTTGTTATCTTTGGTCATACTTTCGTTCCAGAAATGTTGTCACTATTTTCTGTTTCCGATTCCTGAGGCTATCGACGGTTTAAAAATACATCAAGTTAAGAGTTGTCATTAGTCATTGCAGTGGAAATGAACTTTATCATAGTTTTCGATCCAACGGTGCTCATCAGTTACCTCAACAACTACTCTAAGAGAAAGGGCTCGTTCACAACATGATCAACACCCAAACAAATAAAGGAAAGAAAAATCCGCGTGTTCCATTTATTTTAACACTACAAATAGCAACACACAAGTAATTTCTATGCAAACTACTTTCTCCAGGCTGCCCCCTGCGTACGTATCAGTCGCCTGTTGGCCCCGGGGGTGCTCAGCCCCTAGGGGCGGCATTCCGGTCCAACGCCGGCAGCCGCCTTTGATCTCCCCACTTCCCGGAGCGACTCAAAGCGAACGCCGGACGAAAGATGACACCTCTTTAATTCCCGATGAAAATTTGTTTTAAATTTTGATAGACACGGCCAGATAACATCTGCAGCGGGATGGAGATGGTCTGGGAGGGCGCGAATCGCTCTGGGGGTTGATGCTGTTGCGGTCTGACGCCTGCGATCAAAAAGTGACGGGTGCTGTTGCAATACAGGGGATTACGTTTGTGTGGATACACATTAAAAAGTTCGCTAACGTTAGATTGAAATAAATGTGCATCACACCTCCCTAACCATAACCAACTGCATACAGCGTTGTTAAATGCGTCACTAACACAAATCAAGCAAGCTGGTGTAGTCTACTGAAAAACTCAGTATGTTGTGCGCAAAGAGGTGACAATACCGACAAGGGCCACACTTCTCACTCCTTCCGAAACGCGTCTAATGCAATGGTATTAAAAAGATGTAGGTGTTGGCGGAACCACTAGTGCACTATTTTGACTTATCACACAGAAAATCCTCAGACTGCAGCAATTAGCGTGTCTGTACACGATAGCCTAATTTCTTTGGAACTCTGATGTAAAACTTTTTGTCAACAGTATTTGATAACTAATTATAATAGCTCTTGAAATCTATTTACGTACTGCTTATACTAAACTACGAGTATATATTATTGTGCAAGTCCTACCGTTAGGTACGCGAAAAGTTTGTTCAAGTACCTACCGAAAAATCTATGATCTGTGAAATATATACAGAAGCGTCGGATTACCATCGAAAAATTCCCAAGCGAGGTTTGAGTGGCTTTTATAATTGTTCCTTTGGGCATTTTCCCCGCTGGGTCTGGGCAGAATTTCAAAAACTACAAAGCTTTTTCGTGCTTGGCGTTGTGATAATCTTATGTAAAAATTTCAGCCAAATCCGAGTAGTACTTTCCAAGTTTAGATATAGTGGGGGCAAGTATTAGAAGACAGGTTAACACACCGTAGGGACTCGCTAATTTGGATCAATTAAAACCAGAGCTCATCCGGATTAGTAAAAAATCTGTATTATGGGATCTTATATTTTTATGTAGATACATTATAGAAAACTGTTAATAAACTAATGTAATGGTTAAAATAAATACACTTTATTCTCAAAATCTAAAAAAACATAAAATGAAGGTAGTAGGAATGATCATAGCCAGAACTACATACTACATGTACGAGGAACGTCTTTTGAGTTTTGCATATGGAAACAAAACAACACGGTAGGTAGTTTTAAATGACTTTACTGTTTTTCGAAGTATTCTCCACGAAGATTAATATACATCTGCATGCGCTCGAACCAATTTTCGAACCACTTATTCCAATCGTTTGCTGGCAGATCCAGAACGGCATTTTTGAATGCGTCAACTGCTTCTTCTGGTGACTGGAAGCTTTGACCACGCAGTCTGTTTTTAATTTTCGGGAAAGTAAAGAAATCGTTAGGACTTAGATCGGGACTATATGGAGGATGGTCCAATAATTCCACGTTCTCTTCCGTTAAATACTGCCTTTTTTTGGGCTATGTGCGAGCTTGCATTGTCTTGGTGGAGGATGATGCTTCTTTCGGGGTTGATTTTTCGAAGCTCGGTGATGACTTTTGGCAAACAAATGGTGGTATACCAATCCGCAGTAACAGTTATTTGCTCGTTAAGAGGAATTGTTGCAATATGACCCGCTTTTGACACAAATGTCGCGACCATCATTCTCGAAACACGGATGACTTTTGTTGGCTTTTCTTCACCTTGGAACACCCAAACAGCCGGCTGTTGTTTATTTTCTGGTTCATAACAGTAAATCTACGATTCATCAGCACTAACAATGCTGTACACATTTTTTGAGTTTCCGGAATTGAAACGGTCAAGCGTTTTTTTGACACCAATTCACCCTGGCTGCTTTCTGCTCTTCAGTCAACAGGTGGGGTATCCAACGAGAAACTAATTTTCTTACTCCTAATTCTTCATGTAAAATTTTTTGAATTGAGGTCTTTGAGATCTTCAAGAACGCCTCAATCTCGCGATATGTCACATGTCTATCTTCATTGATGAGTTTGCGCACAGCATCGACGTTTGCCTGGGTGACTGCCGTTTTTGGTGCACCCACCCTGGGATCGTCGCTAAGATTCACCCGTCCACGTTTGAATCCTCCATACCAAGGGGCAATTGTCCACTGATGTGGCGCTTCGTTGCCGAAAACAGACAGTAACTCAGCAAGGCATTCTTGTTGCGATAATTGTCTCGTGACACTTAAAAATTCACTGTAGTGAAAACACTGCACGTATTTTTGTGAAACTTTGCATTTAAGTTTACTAAAGAGTGAGGTTAAGATTCAGTACAGACGTTCGATCCGCGCAGCCTACTATGTTTCTATATGCAAAACTTAAAAGACATCCCTGACGTACCTGAAAACATATCTAAAGTGTATCTAACGAAGCTACAAAGTAATCGTAAACAGTGGTTGATTCGTGATCAACGCGTGATCGGTAGCCATGGCGCTCTGTCGGCCTCTTCCTGATTGGCTTGTAGCGACGAGCATCCAGACAAAGTCGCACGGTTGCCACGCTCGGCGAGTTTTCGCCAGAGTGGTTGATCACATTCGCATGGATCACAAATCAATCTGTTGGTGCAATACGTGCAATAACTGTTGTAAAGGACATTATATAACAATAAATGGCATCACAAAGGTATATTCCAATTTGATCTGCAGCAAATTATGAACGGCATATACGGAGATGCGAAAACAAGCTCAAAAAGGTGAAGAAAATTTTTGTGCAATCTTTATAGTTAAATTTTTCCTAAGAGATAGCATCAGTGAGGGAATTTTTTTCTATTGTTTTATTTTTCACATTAATGCGATGTCGAGGTATGTGGCCCTATCGCAATTGAAAATAAGGTTTCGATAATCCTTCCATAAAGTTTCGATGAGTACATCTGAAATAACCTTGATATATTCTTCAGGGAAATACAAAAATCTCCTTTTGTGTTTTTTTGCAGATTTATCTATTAAAATCCAATCCGCAATGTATTTTCCGTGCACACACCTTCAACCGAATGTATGCCATATATGGTATTACCGTTTCCAACTTTCACCAAGGTTAATAGGAACCATAACAGCTCCCTACCCTTCCCCCCTATAAGAATATCGATTTGTAGCCTCACATTTCAAGGTTAGACTTCTTGTAATATTTCTGTTCAACATTCGTCGATTTCTGACAATTTTCCCAATAAAACATGATCATTGTGACATTAAGCCTGGCAACGCTGCATAGTAGAGGGAACTCTCAGCGTCACGTTGATGGTTCGTCACCACGCACAGGATTGTAATCAGTTACGGATACCCGTTTATGAGCGCGAACGTTTTATGCACGTCTTGACTTGATTTTTCTTGCGGAAATTTAATATTAGTCTAAAATGTCTGACACAGATACAGCTGATGAAGTGGTTGAAATCAGCTTAACGCCACCCAGCAAAAGGGCTAAAAAGCTTCATCTTAGCGCAGGTGAAAAACAAATTATTCTAAATATCTACAAGAACCAGATGCAAGAGAATAGTGGATTGGCTATAGAAAATATCGTATGTAAGGTTGCTGAAATTTCTGGAGTAGGTCGATCAAGTGTTTACAAAATCTTGAAGGAATATAGACAAAATCACTCACTATCTGAGCCAAAAACATATCCAGCGAGAAAAAAAATCATCGAAAAAATAGATGACTTTGACAAAAGTGCCATTAGAAGAAAAGTACATCACTTTTTCTTCAGGAATGAAATACCTACAATAGATAAAATATTGAAGCAAGTGAATGATGATGAGGACCTGCCAAATTTTAAAAGATCTACGTTCCATAAGCTGTTGAAAGAACTAGACTTTCGATTTTTGAAAAGAGGAAGGAATAGTTTATTGATAGAAAAGGAGGAAATTGTTATCTGGAGGAGAGAATACCTTAGAAAAATTAGGCAATTCCGCGCTGAAGGAAGAAAAATTTATTATTTAGACGAAACATGGGTGAACGCGGGGCATACGCAGGGAAAGGTTTGGGTAGACAGATCTGTGAGGTCCTCAAGGCAGGCTTTTTTAGATGGCCTTTCGACGGGGTTGAAAAATCCTGCAGGTAAGTTTCGAAGTATATGAACTTTTTTGGATGCAGATAATTCATTTTCTGATCGAATCAATGATTTGGAAGCTCCGAACTCAGTTTTGCTATCTCATCCAAGTTTCTGAGTATTTCCTTCACCCAAAAACTAATCTAAGACCCTATCCTACACTAATCTAAAAAGAGTAAGTTGCTTAATTTCGTCATTTAGTGCGCTCGCTGAGAAGTACAATAACTAATTACTTTCAGGCAAGGGAAAACGCCTGATCATTTGCCACATAGGTAGCGTAGATGGATTTGTTCCTGAAGCATTGTGGGCATTTGAATCCAAAAAAACTGGAGACTATCACGAAGAAATGGATGGTAACTCATTTGAAAATTGGTTCAAAAAAAATTTGCCGACACTTGATGATAACGCAATTATTGTGATGGATAATGCCCCGTACCACTCCAGAAAATTGGAAAAAATTCCAACAATGGCCACCAAAAAGGCAGACATTCAACAGTGGCTTGTCTCAAAGAAGATCGACTTCGACCAAACAATGGTCAAAGCTGAGCTGATAAATATAGTCAAGCGACATAAGTATAAATATGATTTAAAAATTGTTGACGAAATGGCCAAAAACCAAAATAAAACGATTCTCAGGCTGCTTCCCTGTCACTGCGAACTGAATCCTATCGAGTTGATTTGGGCCGACATCAAGCAATACGTGGCGTCAAATAACAGCACTTTTAAGTTTTCTGACCTTAAAAAACTGTTTGATGTTGCTGTCGATAGAATTACGCCAGCAAAATGGAGAACATGTATTGACCATGTCCAAGAGAAGGTTGAAACCAAAATGTGGGATATAGACAATATCGTTGACACCCAAGTTGAACCCCTTATAATTGACATCAACAATTCTGATGATTCAAGCTTCTCGGAATACAGCATATAAATCGATTGATACCATTAAGACTGGCAGTTTAACGGGCTTTTTGGCAAGACAGGTAAGTTCATTATAGACTGCAATCAAAGTGTAAGTTTCTAGTTATTAATGTGGAAATTCCAAATTTATAATTACACAAAATTAGGGTTAATTTAGGAGTTCCAAAGCATAATAGTGCCATTTTGACCTTCTGTCCACCTTCACTAATTGATTCCTCCTCAGAACAGTGATTTGATGCATTGTCAATAAAAAGTGAATCTTTTTCAGGAAGTTGTTGATTTTTTAAAAACTTGTTTGCAAAACAAATTGTAGAACGAATTTTTAAAAAGAGCAGAAGTCATCCATGCGTTGCCACTACGTACGCATTCCACAGGTAAAGTCGTGTTCTCGAATGCCCTTGGGTTCATTGATTTAGCAATAAGTAGAAGACGAAGATCATGGGAACCATCATCGTTTGTGCAAGCTAGGAACGTGATTCGATCTTTGCTTGATTTTCTGCCAGGCGCGGTTGCTTCACTGTTGTGAATTAAAGCCTTGTCAGGCAATAGTTTCCAATAAAGACCCGACTCGTAGGCATTATAAATTTACTGGAGTAAAAGATCCTGAGCTTCTATTATTTTCTTCAGTTTGGCAATAAAGGGGACAACAGCAGATTCATCATTAGACAATTTCTCTGATTTCAAGATGCCTCAGCCCATGTCTTTTTAAATTAAGAAACCAGCCTTTGTTTGCAACAAAATTATCTTTTCCATAAATATTTTGGTAGAGTTGTCGAGCGTTTCAAACGAAATGGGAATATCTTTGCTTTGTTGTTTGGTAAACCAGGAAAACAATTCTCTTTCCATCTGCGGATATTCTGCCTGCCGTAAAGTTTTACGAGAACCTGGCCGAGAATGGCAAATTCCAAGAAATCTAAAATATTGAAAAGTAAGAATGCTCATCAGAAGCCTTGTTCCTAGTAAGCTAATCTTACCTTTTTGTTTTATCTCCACTTTTTCTTGAAATACATAAATACATAGGCACATGATGAACATCTTTTCTTTTCGCTTCTGTGGCCATGACCAACCGGTTACAACGTTGTTTTCTTATTGATTATCAAACATCAGTACAGTATGTCACGTGCCAAAATCACGTAACCTTTTTTTTCTATTTATCACTTATCAGTAATTTGAATTTCTCCTCATTGATAATAGAGTGCTCATTCCTAGGCCAAACCCCCTTTTCAATGATTTTTTTTTTGCAAATTCAATACTTTATTGATTGTGTAATTTCACTCGTTAGTTGGCTTCCTGTAAAACATATCTTCTTCAAGGTCACTCAAGATTCCTTCCTCTAGAACGTTACGTATTATGTGATTAGCTTTTCAGCTTCCGTTGAGCTCGTGGTGCAGGGATCTTTTTGTCGTTCTCCGGATTCTGGGATATTTTATCTGTTCACATAAGGGTTTTTTTTTTTCTTGTAACCATCATAATTTTTGGGACCGAGGCAAGCAGCCCCTGCCCAGTGACGTGCCCACTACTGGCTTCCTTTTTTTTTGTTCTTTTTGACCTGGGATACATCTCGGCATAATCAATGAGGAGAAATTCAAATTACTGATAAGTGATAAATAGAAAAAAGGTTACGTGATTTTGGCACGTGACAAGTATAGGTCTAGTCGCTGGAGATAGATTAGCAGAAAGCAACCAACCGGATCGTTTGTGATCTCCTGAAAATTTTTGTATGTTATGCTCAAAGAGGCAAGAATT